TGCTATGAAACAGCAGATGGAAAAAGGCCCTATAGATGCCATCACTGGAGAGGCCCGATACTCCCTCAGTGAGGACAAACTCATCCGACAACAGATTGACTACAAGACACTGGTCAGTGCAAGTGCACAACAACGAACTCATCTGATGTTTCTTTATGTCTCTCCATATTTGAATTTGCATAAAATCAGGATTAAATCCAAATTTATCTGATGATCTCAGGTATAATTCATGTGCACAATTCATGCACATTATTATAGAAGAAAAAAAATCAGCTTGAAGTTATGTTAAAGTGTCATGCTGTTAGCTTAGCAACATGCTAACACTAAACCCTGTTGCAATTAATTGAGTCAATCCTCTGTGCACTTCATGTAAAGAGTGTTATGCATACTCCCTGCTGATGGATTTCTCAAATGTAGAGTATTTCGAATCAGTCACTTGTGAGCTTTTTAAGAAGGCAACTGCCCTTACAAAACCAAAAATATGTGGGAACATACCGGAAAATATAATGTGATTATATTACAGTTCTATATATGGGAAACTAGTGCTATATACTGCATTGGTATATTGATCCATATAAAAAATCTATAGCAAATAAGACAAACTGCACCACATTTTTACATGTAATAGAAATATTGAAACACTAAATTTCTCTTTCACGTGGGTTTACATAAATCTGAACACACAGTATTCATAAACATATCTAACTTTATTATTTGCATCTTTACACATTTCATATATGAAAATATGTGGGATGTATATAAGAAAAAAAGTATTGCATTAACATTTTAGGACATTTGGACAGTTGGATTACTACATTTATAACTTAATGGATTGATTGCTATAATAACATATATATGTTGCCATGTAAATATAGAAATATATATAGTACATATGTTCAAGTATTTATACACGCAGTACTACATTTTATCACATGTGCATCTATACATTATGAAATGTATTACTGAAAAAAAAAAAAATACTGTCACATTTTTCAATTTTTGAAAAGTGACGATTTCTTATGTATTATTCAATATATTGTAATGTATTAACAATATTATTCGATATATTTTCAATATACATTCAATAATTGAATATATTAATCATTACTCTATAAATAAATGTTTTCTTTGAGAGGGGTAGGCAGCTCACTGGTGTTTTCAACTTGATTTTACAGTGCAAGAGTGCTTTAACTGTTCAAACTAGATGCTAATAATAAATTGCTCAGACTGATTTATCTAATCTCCTTTTAGACACTTCATTGTGTGAACCCGGAGAACGAGAACGGCCCAGAAGTGACTGTGAAATGCCTGAACTGTGACACTATCACCCAGGTGAAGGAGAAGCTTCTGGATGCTGTGTATAAAGGAAGCCCATACTCCCAGAGACCCAAAGCAGGAGACATGGACCTGGGTAAGAACTCTTGAGAAAGATAAGGAAGGAATATGACGGAAAGGGATTTTCACACTTGAAATTGTTAACGCAGGGTCATACGTATAGATAATCCTGGGTTAACTTGTTTCATGTTGCACGCTATTTATACTTTGCTCTGGATTTGTAATTAATGCTGGGCAGTTGGGTTCATACTCTACATTTGGAAACCCTGGGTTAATATTCCTATTTGCATATTTATGAGGTCAATAAGATTGATTGGCAAATGACCCATTTTAATAACTGCCTGTCCATCTCTGAAAATGTTTAATGTTAAAGTGGAGGTTTCTGTGGCAAAGCACATGAATATAGAATGAGGTGGTTTATGATTGTTTTTCTGTTGATAAATAATTCGCTGTAACATTCTGGCAACACACTGTATAGCGTATACCTTTGCTTCTGCAGTTCGTGAGGGTTTCATAACCTAGGGTTAAAAGCGGTGCTTAACCTCTTCTCAAAATGACTTCTCAAAATAAATAAGTGAAATGTTGCATAACCCAGGGTAAAGAGTGACCTTA